CTTTAAATAGCTTTTAGAAAACAACACTGAATATATATTTGGAGGGGTTGTTGTAATTCTCAGTTTTACTATCAAAAATTGTTATTATCCTGTGTTTTCCTTGTGTTTTCTGTCATTGGTATTCTGTAAGTGTTTTGTTCCTTGAGTATACGTATACATACAGACCCAATGTTAAATTGTTGATTGATCAACTTTATCCGTGTTCCAATTTTTTCCTTGTAAGTATCCTTTTCAATCTTTTGAGGAAATTCGTATACGATCAAGTCACGCCAAAAAATTTCAAGGCTTTCACTTTACTTCCTGTTGATTTTTGGACAGTTAAGTTAACATTGAACTTGAAGTCATGCAATAAATATAAAAAGCAAGTACGTTCTTTGTCAGATATTATTTTAAAGTGCTACTTTCATATCGGCACATCGGCACAAATTTTTTGCTCATCTTCAGTATGTCGTCTTACATTTATGCTATGAAAAAAATTGTGTGCACAGACCACACATCTGTAGTGAAACTTCTTTTTATAAATAACCTAACATTAGGCGGTGCATAAGGCATAGGGGAACACACACACACACACACACACACACACACACACACACACACACACACACACACACACACACACACACACCCACACACACCCACACACACCCACACACACCCACAGACATACACACACACACACACAAATATGCTGCTCATTCTTTAAAGATAGAGAGAGTACAAAAGAAATTTCTGTCTTACCTATCGTATAGCAACTGCATTTCGAGAACAGTTCGATCCTATGAAAAAAGATTGCGTTTCTTCGGAATCATTTCTCATGACAACCGCCGGAAACTATTAGACCTTTGTTTTGTTTTTAAATTATTCAATAGAGAAATTGACTGTCCTCCTCTTATCGGAAGATTCGGATTTCGGGTTCCTCGTAGATATCCCCGATCTTCTATAATCCCTTTATGTCCTCCACATAGAAAAACAAAATTAGGCGCAAATTCACCGGTACCAAGATTATGCAGGCTTCTTAATGAACATAGCAACGTTATTGATCTCCATTGTGACTCATTTGCCAGGTTCAGATCTTTGCTCATGAAAAAATGGAAGTAGTGCAACTATTAGATGTATTCTTTTGAGGTCTTTTAATATGCTGTATCTGTACTTGTTATTGTAAATAATAGATATAGTCGTTAATTTATAAGTTCATTTAATCAACATTTAATGTTTCCGATGCATGTGGTGTTTTCCTATAAATGTTTGTTACACTCATGTAATTAGTCGCAAATGTTTAAATTTATTTTATGTAAGTGATAACAAATGTTGGAAGACCTTTTAAATAAATAAAAAATAAAATAAAATATAGTTTGTCGCTCGTGACGTATTTCAGTTTCATCATTTCCTTTTCACTTCATAAATCAGACCTTATTTTAAAGGACTTATTTTACTAATGACATTTAAAGTTTCACTTGCGTCGTGGTTTCATAAACCACCCACCCCTCTTTTCATTAATTATTCAATCACAAATGAGTTCAAATTATTCATCATCCGGTATGATGAATGTAGATCATTATAGTATAAATTTGAATTTTTATTCTTAAACAGATCTTGAAACTCATTGTTTCAACTTATTCAGAAGCAAATACTTGCAATGCAAATTCTTTGTTTGCAATAATGATATACATATATTATGCTAAGTTGATAAACTAGAACAATATTTGGTGCAACAATACGTACATAAGGAAGCGAGGGTAGTGATATGCAGTATTTGATGGGATTGAGTCATTCTTGGTAAACAAGTTTACCATCTCCATTCTTAACACATAAACTTGCCTGTAAATGGAACTCGTATATTCCTATGAACCACATAAATAAAGATTATAAGGAAACAAAGTAAATAACTACTTTATTAAGAAGGAACAGTTCCCTTCTCATGACTTATAATAATTTATAATAGTTTTATGAGTAATGGAAACGTTGTTTATTGAGATTCAGTTTACTTATCTGGGATGAGCCACTGACTCCTGAGATACAGGACATGTCCTAGTTTGGGAGTTTGAGACTCACACTGTTTTTAAAATGTTATTGGTAAGGTGCTTATTGTAAAATTGATGTTCATGTATCATTTTACTATTGTTAAATAAATATTATTATTATATATTGTCTTTTGGATATACATATTTGATTTTATTATTTAACTGTTTTGCACATAATTCTAAAGGAACACGTTACTAGTTTACTTAAATAAGATAATAATTTACCGATTGTTCCCAGTCGCCATCACTGTTATTTTTTGAGTGTGTATGCTGTTGGTCGCATATGACCTTTATAACGTCACCGGGTTTGGGGACGTCGAGATCCTAAGGGGACCTCAAGCCGAGATTTGGCGAGTGCCTCTAGAGGTATTCCAGGCGGATGGCATCTCCCCGCGGGGGGAGTCTCCTCTCCGTCTTGTGGCTCTAGACCACTCGAACCTGAGGGGGTTGGCTCAACAACTAGAGGGCGTGAGACTCGGACCTCGGCTCTAGTTAGCCGTGGTCGTAGGGGAGTCATCACTGGCTTCGTTCCCACTGGGGACAAACGAGAAAAGAAAACTCCTAGAACTTCCTTCCCATAGTACTCGTAGTGATAGATAATGCAACCTTTTTTTCGAGGGTCACACACATTCCTAATTTCCTAATAGTGAAAATAGGAACCTTGTTTATGAATATCGCCCAATAGCTATCTTACGCGTACCTGCAAAGGTTTTCAAGTACATTCTGCATAAGAAGATATAAAGACAGATTAAACGAATGATAGGCGACGAGCAGCATGGTTTCATGATTTGCGTTCTGTTAATACAAATCTACTATGTTTCGTTGACTATATTTCTGACTCTGACGCCATTGATCGTGGGCTGCAAGTTGACGTAATATACTTTGATTTCCAGAAGGCATTTTACTGAGTTGACAATGATATACTATTGCAAAAGCTTACTGCCATTAGTTTTGCTCCCAATCGCCTAGCTTTCTTCTTTGACTTTTTAACAGACCGTCGCCAACATATAAAGCACGGATCTTATATTTCCGCGGAGTACCTTACTAGATCTGGTGTCAGTCAGGGCTGTGTAATTGTTCCGCTCTTCTTTCTCGTTATGTATACTGACGACTTGAAGCCGTTTCTTGAGATTAAATCATTTGATTACAAGATTCACGAATGGAACATAATAAATAAAATGCAATTGAAGCATTATAAATGTTAAATGTTATGTTATCTTTTATCGTAATTCTTTTACGATCCAATATTTTAATTATAAAATTAACAACTTGCCAATTAATAGGGTCCATTGTATTAAAGATTTCGCGGTGACGTTCGATCGTAACTTGAATTTTCACGATCATATATTTTGTCTAGCAAAAGAGTGCTATCTTCATCTAGGTTTCGTTTTGAGACATGCCAGGGATTTCTAAAATCCATAAGTAGTGGAAATATTGCTTGTGTCGTTGTGTCGTTAGCTAGGAGCAAGCTTAAATCGATTGTGTGTGTCTGGAACCGTCATCAGGTCATACATCATAGTTTTTACTCAGACATCTCGGCTTCAATTCCCTAGAGGTGAGAAGATTCATCGACCAACTAACCATTCGTCTGAAAACGCTTAGTGACATATCCTTTATTGATTGCCTACTCTCGCAAATTTTTTGTGTCTTTTATTTGTCCCGAACAAACCTTGGCTTCCTCTGGAACGCAGGCGTGGTCCTCACAAACAACAAAACCTCTTTCACAAAACCTCTTAGGGGCAACATCGTCACCTTTGGTTAGATCACTGCGTAACTTCAATGCATTTCGGGACACCAACTTGTATTTGACTTTTCTTTTGATGATTGGTCTACCATCAAGCCAATATGTTAATAAGAAAGTCCGAGGGATCAATGCAGCAGTACTAGCAGCTCTGACAATGATGATAGTGATTGTCATTTTTAATTAAAACGATTACTTTATTTATGTTATTAATTATTATAATTATTGAGTTTACCGAATAATGTTATTATTGATTCGTTTTGACGATCATATAAGATGTGTTAAACAGACAAATGTAAATGTGTGATAAATGTAATTAATATTTGTCGTTCTAATTAAAATAAATAAATAAATATATAGATAAGATTATTTCTCATTTCCAAGCGAATTAAACTTTTTAGGGTTTTGTATTCCAAGGGTCCAAATATTAATAGCTGTTAACTTGCCATTGATTTTTGAACTTGTAATTTTGTAATAATGAATAGTATTAATTACGTATATTTTTATTTTAAAAAAATACTAAGATTTGGTAAGAAACCCAAAATGTGCGAAGTTCTACGAGTCAGCACTTACTTGGTCAGTTTTTATTTTAACTTTAATCAACTGTCGTAAAAATATTTAAGTTCAAATAATAATAGTGACCGGATATCCTGAATGTAACTAAAACTTACATTGAATGATAACTTTCATCAGGACTTTTTGGCGGGATCGGGAAGCGTCACTTTAGAAGTTTTGTTAATCTTGTTAAAAATTGTGTTGTGGAGGATGTTAGTTTTTAATAATCGTGGATTATTAACCACTAAGTGTTCGGGAATATGCACAAGTGTTGGCAAGTGAAATTTTTGTTTAGCAGAAAGTGTCTTTCGACGTTTCCTCAAGAAGTCCACGGGGAGGTTCCAGTAAATCCCCACACTTTTACTGAAACCACTTACTTTGACTTGTTTTATTACTTTGACCACGAGTGCTATAGTATTTATAAACATACATTTTAACTCTTGACTTTGACTAAATGCACTGGCTAAATGCACAAGCCGTGCGAAGTCATTTAGAAAAAAAAACAGTTCATCATCACATTTGAAAAAAGTTAATATTTTTTTTATTTGTTCTGAGATTAAGTATTTACTTATGCAAAAATTGACAAATATTTGGGTTGACCTTCTTAATGAAAAAGTGCCTGAATCATAGCATAGTAGTACGTACGCGGTAGTATTCGTACTTTTACTTTCGATACTTACTAAAAACCGGTCATACAAGGTTGCTCGCTTGGTCTATACACGCGTTGCTTGTAATAAACAGCGAAGTTTCTAAACACTTTAACGTGAACTAAATAGTTAATTTATCACAAAACGAATAGATGATAAAAAAAACTCACACAATTTCTCACGATACGCACAGAATTCCAAGTTGTTATTGTCGCTGCAATTTATTCAATAAAATAAACCACACACATACACACGCAGTTTTAATTCTCACAAATAAAGGCACAACCTTTTGTGAAGTTGAAAACTTTTTGGAACTGTTTTTGTATTTCGAAGAACTATTCCGAAAGTTTATTTACAGCTATAAAGTTTTGAATAGCGCGTTTGACACTTGTGTTTCACATGAATCGCGGCACGCTACTGGTTGAGTGAACGGCGACTGCCGGCGAAAGACAGGTGAATGAACGGTGAATGAATGTGAGTCATTCGATTGTCCGCTCGCAAAATGATTCCTTGTTGTGGGTTTTTACTGCGCGTCAAAAGGCGTATCGGAGTTTCCTCTTTTTTTTTCTAGCACCATGACCGGCTAGTTGTTATTCTGTACTTTATTATCTCAGTGTAAAGCTTCATATTTAAAAGCCAAGTTTTATTAATGCTAGCTGCGTTGCAAACAGATCTTTGAATTTGTACAACAACGTGTAAAAAAATTAATGAGTAGCAATCGCGGTACGGACAGATAAATAAGCTCTATTATTCCAGAGTTAACTGTAAGGCTAGTTTGTTATTTTACACTATGTTAACGACATTTAACGTCACTTATCTAGACATGTACGTCGAACTCGTACTGATTCCAGTCCCCGTAGCATGAACACTACAATTTACTTTATATCACGTTTTTATCGCGTCTAACTATCAAACACCATAGTAATTTGACAACTGAGCGTGATAAAAACGCGTTATATATCATATCGCGGTGCTCATGCTCGGGTGGTAGGGCCCGGGTCAAAAAATCAATATCAATGTCGTATAGTATTCAGTCTAGGCTGTTAAAAGCACTTGTGAATGTCGAAAAACTACGCCATTCGTTCGCAAATCTACGGCGGAGACCTTGTAGACATGAAGTCACTTTCCATTGCAAATGTAAATATTATAAAAAAATATGACTATAAATATTTTTTTATAATATTTACATTTGCAATGGAAAAAACGAACGATTAAAGTTAAGTACAACGATTAATACTCGTATTACCCAACGTAGCAACAGCAGACTCGCAGCACCCGTTCACGAGCATGACGCATGAACCAGCTATCGCTTTGCTCAAACATTTTTTAGGGAACGCAACGACCTGCCTTACACGACACCGCCGAAGAATTTTTAAGAGAGCTATTACTCATAAACTACATATGGATAATGGAAAAAATATAAGTACCAGTGTACATTATTATAACAAACTAAAAACACAACGGCAGGACACATGCATGTGATTACCTACACTGGTGTCGATTCTGGCACTACTCGCCAAACCCAAAACCAAACCCAACATCAGTCCCCCCTTTTCAGTCCGTATAGAGAATGACAAGGATACACCGCTGCAAAACCAAAGTTCAGGTCTAGAAAACCATGCCAGAACATGCCAGTTAACCGAGGGAAGTAAAATTTATGCAGGTAAATAGTAATTTAGGTAAAGTTCGTTTTATTCAGGTCTTTTGGATGTAAGTTCTGGATAGTCATGTGAACATCTTTCAACTTTTATTTTCACTTACCAAATTGAATAAGCCGTATTTTTTTGGGGCCGGACCCTTAGCACGAACCAAAATAGAATTCGAATAGTATGCGATTGCGAAATATCAATGTTAAATTCTTCTTGTATTTTGCTGTAGGCATTGGCACGTGCTATTTTGTTTTTGTAAAGCGAGCTAGTCGGCTTCCAAAGACATTCGTATTCTCTGTACAAATGAATGAATGTTGTGCTAGCTGCATGCATATCAGTATGTCAGTATTACAGGCATGCCAGTTAGCGTATACACATGACAGTAGCTGGGACGTGCAAGGAGCTGGTATGCTAGTGTACAAGCTACGGGAATGTGTATCCCCAGCTTAAGGGTACTGAGACCAATGCACGACTTTCTGACAGCTCCGTAATCCGTAAAGTATCGTAATCGTCAAATTTTGTATGGAAGAAGCTAGTTTGTTCTTACGACCGATTGGGGCGCTGCTTAGTTTTCATAAAAACTTTGACGATGCGATATAGTATGGAGCTGTCAAATACACGTGTTTGGATCTCAATACTTACCCCAAGCATAAACTTTGACAGAACCGTATTCGTATTGCAAACGTCAAAGTTTCTATGGAAATTAAGGAGCGCCCCTACTTTGAGGATGGCGATACGCATACGGATCTGTCAAATTTCAGCCAAAAAGCTCCATCTAGAAACTCATGCTTTGGCCTCAGTACCTACCCCAAGCACGAGTTTCTAGAATCTAGATGGAGCTTTAGTTTATTCTTACGTACGTAGGGTCATAAATAAATAAATACGGGTGACACTCAGAAAGTTTTGAGAAACTAAAAAACTAACTTCTATAAAAAGAATATTTTTATTAAATCTTTTCAAAGAAATCTCCACCAGCCTCTATACAAAGTTTCATGCGTCTGAACCAATTTTCAGAACATTTTTACCAGTCCTCCGCAGACACCTCTTCCACAGCCTTCTCAAACGCTGCTAGCGCTTCTTCAGGCGATGAAAACTGTATCCCTTTTCTATAGAAGATATAAGGATAAAAGACGTTTTTTAGGTTTTAGAAGTATGTATCCCTGGCCAATTGATCATAGCCAAAGCATCGTCAAGGATATTATGCTATTGAATTTCTTTCCAAGGGATTCAATCTTTTTTGTATAGAAGGTTGCATAACGACACACGCCGCCATGTGGTCTTACTAGTAAGTCTATTGGGAAGGAAATTCCCAGTAGTTCAACTGACTACTGGGGAACAGGGGGATATTTGGAGGTAAAGAACGACATACGAGTACAGGACGATCGACATATGATCGGCCTGCGGCGTAAATAAGCCGGATTGGTTCTATCCCTATATTGTTCTATATTGGTATATTTTATGTATTATAAGTGATATATTTTAAATATCGAATTTCATAGGCTTTTCAGTTATATATTTTATTTTTTAAGCATTTAACTGCTAGATGTTTAAATATAAAGATATTTATTCCTAGAAAAAAATCTACGCGGTCCAGGCCTCAGACGGGACTCGAACCCGTGCCTTTCTTTATCCGGGCGAATGCAAAGACCATTATGCTACCGCGACCCTGATGGCCGTGTCGAGTTTTTTCTAGCCTTAGCCTGCAAGGCAGCGCCATCTCTTAGCATTGTAACCCACAATGTCAAACGAATACTTTTACAAGTATTAAACATTTGAACGAAGAAATAGCAATAAAAGGTATGTATTTTATTTCATTAGCATTTAACTGCTAGATGTTTAAATCTAAAGAAAATACTACTAGAAAAATATCTTCGCGGACCAGCCTATGGCTTGAGAAAATTCGACACGGTCATCAGGGCCGCGGTAGCATAATGGTCGGCTTTTCAGTTGTTTGTATCAAACGATGGATTGAATCCAAATCGCTTCTGTCTGACGCCTGCTGAGTTATAAAAGCAATAGCTCTGGTCTTCTCTAAACTCTGAACCTCTGAACTTTTTAAACTTATCAATACCAACGCGTACAAAGAAATTTGGTGAATCATTTCTTTGTCGCACTATCCGTAAATGGAATGCTCTGCCTGCTTACAACCTGGGATCCTTTAAAAAAGGCGTGAAGAAGCAACATACAGGCCGGCAAGGTGAGGATGGCTGGTGTGACAGGTAGAACTGCTGTACCACCTATCTTCACTTCTGGACTTCACCATCACTTAACATCTGGTGGGGTGGAGTCATTTGTCGGACCTATCTATAAAAAAAATAAAAATACCTATACTTTAACTTTTTATAAATGTTGCTAAATAATGACTTTTGAAGTTTTGACGCACGGAGAAGTTGCCAAATAATGTCCATTTTTGTCATTCCGTAGTCGGTTCCTGCACAACCGTTCTTCAAGAACAAACTCAATTTTCACCTAGGAATCCGCGGTGTAATATAAAACTGAAAGACGAATTTCAAATCAATTCAATTTCATTAAAATCAAATCACACCGGCAAATTCTGCAGTAAAAGGGGAGACTGATCTTACGGAACAGCGCTGTTGTTTAAAAATAATTCTCACTAGAGATTTGCTAGGAAGCTTAGTGAGGACTATGTTTGTAAACGGACATTGTTTGTAAAGAACCTGTAAGCGATGGCTAGGCTTGAACAGTACAAGTTATTTGTTGATTAAAATTAAAACTAGTTCCACGAATAAGATAATTATACATATAATTTTGAACCATTTGCCAAGATTTATATTTTTATACGAGGCACATGAAATAATCCTATCCTACCCGATGTTAGCGATTCGTTAGAGTCCAGTAGCGACAAAAGATGTAGCGGCTCGCATTGCACAAGCTCTCAGGATGTCGATGCCCCTAATGCTACGGGGCATCTTCATCGGGGTGGGTCCGTTCGCGGACAAACACCTGTACCCTTAGTACGAGTTTTACAATTACTACAACTATGATAGTTTTCGTGAGCTCGCACCGTATTAAGAGTTTCAATACAAAAAACAGTTTTCAAATTCTATCATCAAATCATTTGTTTCTTATTAAATTTTAAGTATATTTGGTTACTTTTCACCAAAATGAACATAGAAACATAATTTACAATTACGAAAACTATGATAGTTTTCGTGAGCTCAAACTCGTACTAAGGGTACTGGCGGGTGCGCAGAAATCGGAAACGGAAGCCGCGACCACACCCGCCTCTTGGCGCGCACTAGGGGGACCGCGGTCCTCATAGTGCGTGTCGGGTGACGATGCCGGAGTATTGTCTGGGTTTTTAGTGGCCCTGTTCAGGGCGTTAGGTAGGACCCTGTATATTTCACCCGGGCACAGAGCTGGCTGAAATGAACAGGGAGGAGTCCCACTTACCTTCTTTTCGCTCCTCCAGTGGTTGAAGGATGCGTAAAGCATTTCCCAGACACAAAAAAGGGTGTGCCACTACAGCCATCTTCACCTGGAACTCTACTCATCAGCAGAAACAACACCACCAAAAGGTAGTTTTATTTTACTGTGGTCTTCTGTGAGGTGGAGATTGCTTCCCAGACGGGCGATCCAATTTGACTGGGAAATCCTATGTGCCCTGCCTCTGGTTGTATTTTTCGCAAATAACATGGTAAAGTCAAATAAAAGGCGAAATGTACATTTTCATTACATTTTATTGATATAATTTTGTACAAATAACGGCGTATAATACATCGGACAGGTCTCACATACAAAACTAATGCTAGTCAAGCTATCCATTATGTCACAAATTCTACGTTTAATACTTGACTTCATTTACAAAATAAATTAGCTTACAGAACACTGTAAAAAAACTAGTTGGAAGCGTGGAAGCAAAACTGTTTGGTAGGTTCATTTAAAAAGGTTTTATTTATTGGAATTTTGATACGAAATAACATCATATAGATATGTTTCAGTATTGCGGAGCATGAAAACGGTTCATTTACCAACTTTTCATTTAAATTGCTTTTCGTAACAAATGAACTTTGTTAAGATATGTTTTAATATTGCATGGGGATTATATGGTAATAATAAAAAGCTTAAATTACGCAGTCCGTCAGAAACAACGTGGAATTTAGAAGAATACCGTAAAGATATGCATCTCTGTATGTCTTCTCGCACACCCTGTGAAACACTTAATTGACGAAAATTATTTGGTGTAAATGTAAGCCCTGGGTAGGGTTTATAATCATTAACATAGTATGCGGTTCGATTATTTAATGATAATATTATGTGTTGTTAAATCTCAAAACAGCATAGTATAAATTATGAATTTTGATTTATTTACTAAACGTTCAAAATAATTTGAATAGTCTTTTCCGTAAGCATAGGCATTATTGTATGTCATAGAAACGCCGATTCTCAGAGCTAGATGAGATTTGCCTCCATTATTTTATATAAAGGAAAAGCTAGAATTATTGAATGAAAGGAAATGGAACAACTACAAATAATGCCCACTTAAATACGTGCATGGTTTTATAAATGTAATAATGTATGTAATAATTTGTTTTTATGAACTAATCATGTGTTTTATATTTATTTTTATTCGCATTCATTGGATAGTATTTACAAATGTAGGTATGACTTATTATGATTTAATTTAATGCATATCCAATGATCGCCTTTCGCATATACTCATTAAATAACCGAATTTCACATTTAAATATATCCTCCATTTTATACATACAAAGCGCATTTAAAATTATCCTACCTCGTAAATATAATTATCTATGAGTAATTATCACTAAAGCGGGTGCTAAAAGTTAATTTGCTTCCTTCATTTATCATGAAGCGAAACTATATGTCGCCGTGAAATTAAAACTATTTAAGAAACACACTTCAATGTTAAAAGCCCGATTAAGTACCAAACACTATTGTATTTCATTTAACTACTTTACAATCACCTAAAACCACGTCCATATCAAACATTTTCGATATACAAACGCTATTAATGTATGTATACTTAATGATCTATTTTATAAAATACACTCACATCGTAACAAATTTTTGTGTCAACTCGATATGCTATTTAATTAATGAGGTTGTATAAATAGTTATCTAAATGAAAATGCGTGCAAATCACTCGTACAACTAGAATTTCATTTTTTATTTTAATATTACAAATAGTTCTTCTCATATAATTACTAGATAGTAAAGCACTTTGAAAGATACTCCATTAATCATGGAAAATCATAATGAAGTTATATAGGTATCATAAAAATGATTTCAAAACAAACCATTACAATAGTAAGAACATTTCAGTTTATAAATAAAGTAATTTTCAGTATTCTTAATCTAAATTGACTAGGTATTAATTAATTTATAGAACTAATATTTTTGTTGCTGTATATGGTGGCAATTTTATAAAAAATGTTGCAACTTCAGTTGTATTGTAGTTTATTGCCTCCGAGATTTATTTTTACATTGATATGTAATTACGGAGCTATTAAATTAATTGGTCATTCATCACCAGTAAATAAAGCGTTGATTCGGTGTAATTAACGTGTATATTTTTATGATAACACAAATCTGAACGTAAATTTACTTGCGTAACATTATGCGCTTCGGAGTCGACTGGTTCATTTAGAACGAAGCGATAATAAATGAACCGGCGAAGCTAGCGGTTGTAACATTGAAACGAACAATTGGATTCACTTAAATGAACTGTAGTACAGTTCATTTAAATGAATTGGTTATTTTTATGGAGCGCACCTGCCTACGTTGTTTGTGATTGTGTGGGGAAGTTTAGAAAGGGATAGAGGTATATCGAAATCTCCGCTTAATGAGATTTGTGAAACGCAACCGATTAAACCGCTCTTGTATCTTCCCATTGTGTTCATTTCTATGGAGGGTAGGCCACCTGAAAACAAAAAAATTATATATATATAATTGAGGCGTTTTACGAGGAAGTTTCAATCCATACTAATATTATGTCTCTCTGTTACTTTTCACGTTTAAAATGCTTAACCTGCAAATTTGATGATGAAATTTGGTATAGATATTGTATAAGTCCCGGGAAAGGACATAGGATATTTTTAATGACAGAAATCAGCCTTTAAGTAAAGGGTCTTAGAAGTTTCAATGGGAAACCAATTTTTCCACACAGACGAAGTTGCGGGCACCCACTAGTACTATATTTGTCGACTTCCGAGGTGGAGTGGTATATACACCGGGTTTCAAGGTGTCGACTACTCGAGAGGTCCCGGGTTCGAATCCCGGTGAGGGAAACTGTTAGTACGATGAAAACGAGCCTTTGTACCTTAGTCTTGGATGTTTATGTATATTTCTAGATAAAATATACTTGTATAAGTATATGTATTACACATATATCTATTATCTTAACATCAAGCCTTACAGTGCTTACTTTGGGGCTAGGCTAATTGGTGTGTATTAAAAATCGGTCTCTCTGTCTGTCTGTTACATTTTTACGAATAAAATTTGGTACAGATATAGTTACGAGTCCCGGGACAGGTCATAGGAAAATAACTGATGTTCTACCTACCTATATAAAGTCCGTTTTCAGTGTTGAGTTGCTTTAGTTTTCCCGGTGAGATTTTCCCCACGGAACCTAAGCCGTCCACTTCGAGAACGCCCGCTTGTCTGTTCCTGAAAAGAACCGTTCATTCATCAATCAATCACTCATGTTTGTTGTTGTGGAGAAGTAGGAAAACCACATAAATACGTAATTAACGAAAACATACGTATTTGCGACACGGATGAATGAGTAATGATTGTACTTTACAATTAACTTCCGAGAAAAGTCGTCTTTATTGTTTGTCATTATTTTGATAGTGTTAATAGGGATGATGACTGTTTTTTTTCTTCGTTTATCAGGTAGATTATCAAAAAGTATTGGACACGTATTTTTTCTTTTTTCACATAATATAAACATTGCAGGGATATATTGATTTGAAAAGTAGCATGACGTCACGCTTTAGTACACTTTTAAGTGAAAATTCACTAAAAAGTGACGTCACGAGCCCCTACTCCCAAACTGTGACGCGCTATAACTTTGTCATTTTTTGGTTGATTGCCCAAAGAAAAAATACGTGTCCATTATTTTTTGATCATCTAACTGACGGACTAAATAGAATTTCGTTTACTGTACCCCGTCATCACCCCTATTGAATTATTCAAAATAAATGGTCTTACAAAAAAATCTTTTATTATCTTCGTTATATTTAATCGTGACGGTAAAATGTTCGTCCCCTATTTTTAAAGATAATTTGCTCATAAATCACTGCGAGATTTTGCTAAATAAAAGTTTGAGTACGAACAAAAAGTACTTAAATTAAAAAATGTGTAGATTAACTTGAGCTAAAACTTGCTTTCAGGAACACCTACTGATTGAAAGCGCTTTGTTAAAACTCCAATAAACACCCGTAAACACCCATAAACACCCTTTGAAATGGATGAAAATACTTAAGGAATATTAATAAGGAATTAGAACACTTGATTGAAGGGTATGTTTGACGAGCTTTCTTGCCTTCATGGCTCGTGTGGTATGTACGCCGGTTTTCAAGGTGTCTCCTACTAGAGGTCCCGGGTTCGAATACCGGTGGGGCCAAGTTTTATGTGATGAATTTGTACTAAGTCACCGAAGTTTATATTTATGTATTTTTAAATGAAAATATACTTTTAAAGCTATGTATCAGTATATATATTCTACCCGTTACCCAAGTATTCCATAACACAAGCCTTAAAGCGCTTAGTTTGGGAGCTATGCTAATTGTTGTGTTTGTTAGAAATATATATTTATTTATGTAACGCAATGAGAGCATAGCAGAGTCCACGCTATATGGGTTTTTGAATGCGGCTGAACCTTTTAGACGTGTGCTTCAGCAAAGCACCTTCAGCCTTATTATTATTTGTTAATATCCACCTAGCAGAACTGGGTCCGCTTTTTATTTCCCTACGTAGACATTCTGATGATAACGATTTAAGGTTATCGTCTAGCAATGAAAGCTAGGTTGCCAAATGCGTGTGAGATCTCATACGTATACAAAGAAAGCAAGTAATTATAATTAGAATACAAGAAGTCATAGCTAGAAAGTAATGGAATGTAGTAATTACCTGGTCGCTCGAGCTCTATGCCAGAGTCCGTCGTCGACTTTCGTGTGATTGGCGATTATCACGACCTCTCCACTCCCCAAGTCGTATCTGAAATAATAATAAACATCACTAGTTAATTCTTCTATTAAATCAATCGTATGTGTCTGTTACGTGTCAGTTATTCACTTCTGAATCTATCTATATCCTTACATATTTATGTAAATGTTTATGTTTGTTTGGCAGCTTAACACCAGCACGCAGACTTCTATAACGAGCTATAGGAAGTCGGCCATACTCCAAATCATCCCCCCTTCTCTGCTTCTAGTTTTAGCTTATAGACCACTACAAACCCAAACTCATTTATTCAGTCTAGGCTGTTACAAGCCTAGACTGAATAAATGAAAGAAAGTCGAACGCTACGCCATCGGTTCGTAAATCTACGGCGGGAGACCTTGTACTGAGAAAAACCGGCAAGAAACTCAGCAAGGGCAATTTTTTTCTCCCTGTTTTGTGTCATACAGTGTCGTCAATTGAAAGATGACATCAAAAACTGAAAACATGTGTTGATTGACATCAATTGGCTCTTTCATCTCATTAATATTTTTAATCTATACTTATAATAAATCTGTAGAGAGGTCAATTCTGTACATGAAATATATTTTCAAAATAACTATCAGGGGGTGATTAGTGATCGATACTGATGCCAAAAATGCAATCAGTAAAAATTTTGTCTGTCTGTCTGTGTGTATGTTCCTTATAGAAACAAAAACTACTCGACGGATTTTAACGAATCTTGGTACAATTATTCTTCATACTCCTGGGCAGGTTATAGTATACTTTTCATCACGCTACAATCAATAGGAGCAGAGTAGTGAAGGGAAATGTTGGGAAAACGGGAGAAGTTACTCCATTTTTTCAGCTTCCGTCGTGTGTGCAGCCTTAATGGTTAAAGTTACATAGAAATTATGTATGACGGAAATATTCTACATAAAATTGTCTAAAAAATATCCCGCATCAGCATATGTCTATCTTTTATGGTTGACTCACAATAACACGTGTAACTCCTGATAGCTTAGCAGTTCGGAGCATTCCGATTATATAACGTAAATATGAGAATTTTAGTTTGATTATAAATACAGGTAATAAAAATGACCATTTTTATCTACATATGTATATAAAAGTCAAAGGGGACTGACTGACATAGTGATCTATCAACGCACAGCCCAAACCACTGGACGGATCGGGCTGAAATTTGGCATGCAGGTAGATGTTATGACGTAGGCATCCGCTAAGAAAGGATTTTGATCAATTCTACCCCCAAGGGGATAAAATAGGGAATGAAAGTTTGTATGAAACTTTGTCAATTTTAAACCGATCGGGCTGAGACTTTGCATGCAGGTATAAGGAGAATCATAGATGAATGTCATTGTGTATAATACAAGCCTGAGAACAAAAACTGTAGTCTACACTTCAGCTCTACACCGAAGCGAAGCGAGGGCGGGCCGCTAGTAAACAATAAGTTAAGTATAATTAGGTTTTAGTTTTAAATTTACAAGGGCCGATTAAACAGTTGTTCAAGGGGGACAGATCTTCACCATTTTAGGATTTCTTGTAACATGCGCTTTATGTAGTGTCTTCTATATAACGAGCGACAGGAAGTCACATTTTTAACTCCTCCTTCTATTGCTCCACCTTTCTGACTTGATCCTATACCAATGTATGTATGTGTGTATCTGTTCGACATCTGAACATCAGCACTGAGTCTACAGAAGTTCAGCACTGAGTACAGAAGTCTGTAGAAGCTACAGCGAGCGACAGGAAGTCGGCTACGCTCTACATTCTCTGCATTTCGTCATAGTTTAGGAATCCTTTCCTTGTTCTCTTTGTCTTGGCGCTGTATATATGTGTCTTCTATTGCGAGAGACAGAAAGTCACATTTTTCGGCTCCTTCTTCTTAAGTTCCGTAATTTTGTGTAAGCGTTATATGTATCTATATGGATGTATACCTATGTGTCTGTACGTCACCTGAACACCAGCACTGAGTGCTCTACAGCAAGCGACAGCAAAACGGCGCGCGGCGATATATATATTTATATATCAGGTCCGTGCGGTGCTATATAAATATCAGATCTTAGTTTAAATACCACTACAACTGTTTAAGGTGGTCGGAGCTTCAATATTTAAGGATTTTTGTCTTGGCGCTGTATGTATGTCTCTTCTGTTGCGAGCGACAGGACTTTTTCGGCTCCTTCTTTAATTCAGTTATTTTGCCTTAGCATTTTGTATTTATATGTATGTCTATATATTTATACGTCACCTGAACACCAGCACAGAGTGCTCTACAGGAAGCAACAGGAAGCCAGCGCGCGGCGTTTTTTAGTATATCAGGTCTTAGTTTATAGACCACTACAACTATTTGAGGTGTTCGGTGCTACACTATTTAAAGCTTTTTGTCTTGGCGCTGTATGTTTGTCTCTACTGTTGCGAGCGATTGAACTTTTTCGGATCCTCCTTTAATTCTGTTATTTTGCCTACGTTTTATTTACCTTTTTTGAAGTGAAAACTTCTTTAGCGGCGTTGTACACTTTTTTTTTGTATGGGTATAAAATGTTAAACTCGCGTCAGGTTAAACACGTGGGCTGATCGCATCATGACATACAATAAAATTGGAATGGTTGTTGACTTTTAAAATATTGGACGAAATATTACTATGAATATTTTATTTTACCGTATCATAATAATAAGTCTCTATCTAGGACGTCCACGTGGCAGCTTTATTTTTAAAATAGATGTCGCTAGTTGCGCTAAAATGTGATTCATGTAAGTTGATTTCTTTACAGTAGATGTCGCTAAGTGCGCTTAAACGTGATTCATGTAAGTTGATTTTTCTGAGATAAACTTTTTTAATGTAATATTAATTGACATATTTGTGTACGATAGCGCAGTAAATAAATATCGTACTTATATATATTCTACCACATACATGATAGTACTTTTATACTGATAATTAAAGCAATTCGTGCAAAATTATTTCCTAACCATACCAAAATATCAAGACTGCACAACGTTAATATTCAACACTTAACTTGACTACTTTTAAGTTTAAACTTCTGCCGGCACTCCCGGAGTGCAAGCCATCGTTTTTTTGAGTGTGCATGCTGTTATTCGTAGAACACCTTTACAGCGTCACCGGGTTTGGGGACGGTTTTTGTATCTATATGTATGTCTATTTATTTATACGTCACCTGAACACCAGCACAGAGTCCTCTACAGCGAGCGACAGGAAGTCGGCGCGCGGCGCGGCCCGCCCGCTCCACACGAGCAGTCCGCGCGGTGAAACGCTGCGGAACCGCACGTTGATGTCCAGCGTGTAGCTTACTAGCCTGTATTCAAATTTAAAGATTAAAACGAATCAAAATCGTTTAATCAGCACAGTACACGGATATAGACAATAGGGAAGATGCAATATTTTTATTTTTGTTTTCATTTTAAAGAATTCCATGTAGAATAAACGACAGATATATTAAAAAATTAAAACATTGTGATTTATCGGAAAAAATGCGGTTTTAAATTGACAATTTAAATTTTCGCGCGAAAACGAACCTATGGATGCGATGACGTCACTCCTGTCTGTCACTGGTCGTAATTGTTCGTTGCTGGCTTTAAATTTTCATACTTTTGCATATTTTTTCGACTTTCGAAATATATTTTTGAAAAATTTAAAATGTATCCATCCATCAACATCATGTGATCATAACAATACCACTAATATTCCGAAAAAAAGCCGTGTTGACTCATGTTTTGTGCCAATCTACTTCAACAAAGTTCCCAAATAAATTGTTTTTGACTGGAACTTCTGACCCAAAACTGAAAAAAGTGGTTTCAAGCTGCGAAGAGAAATGACAATTATTCTCCAAAGACCATTATTCGATGCTGAGAAGATCATTTTGACGTAAGTCGGCGAATATACTTGTTATATGCTTAATTAATCTGCTTGTACGTAAAAACGCATTAGTAACCTACCTAATACTTACAAAACCTGTCTATAACATATTTTTAATTTTACAGTTGGAGAATGACGTCGAAAATTAGATAAAGTGTGGCACAATCTTCACATTGGCAGGACTGAACCAAGCTTTGCGTTTCATTTAAAATAACTGTAACACGATAACCTTCTTTACGTACTTTATGCTCCGGAGAACTCGACCTTTTACTGTACATCATTTTCCATCTCTTTTAATTTGGACATAGCCGATTGCATTATCGCCGTAAGATTTGTAGAAGCCGCTGAATAAAATACGAAGTTTAACAACTACGATTTTTACATACCGTAGTAATTTAGTCCCTTTCATTTCTACACTTAAAAACTCTGCACTTTGGACAAAAAAAGTTATAACCATGTCAACGCTAACTCTTGGTAAATTCCTGGAGTCTGCTTTGATAAACGCAACTTTCATTTTTATTAAATGTAAAAAAACGCAATAAATATTCCCATAAAATAATATTTACTTTATCAACCATAACCTCAAAGAAGTTGTCATAACAGGAGTGACGTCACTAAACGCTGATTGGTGTTTTAAAATACGTTCCGTTTCAAGTATTTTTAATTCGTAATGATTGTTAAAAAACAACATTATGTAAAATAAAAACGTTGCAGTGGCATTTCTTTTATATTTTTTTAACATTTTAATCATAAAATTTTCATAAATATTATATATGCATCTTCCCTATTATACAAAAGACAACCTATAATATACACAACTCGATATATAGGACAGGCTCAACCCGTTTTTCTGGAATAACTTGACTGTGCATATTGAAAAACGCAGGCGGGTGGCACAGACAAGTGTAAACTGGCCACCTGCCCCGCGCCTAATGAATAACTCTCAAACAAAGACTACTATTTAAGGATAGGGTGGGTAAATCTGATTTAAAATATGGATATTTTTACTAGGTGGCTATCTTTTGTGTAAATATATTCTAAGCATTAACGATTATATTTTTTTTATAAATATCAATCATTGCAGAGGAAAAAGGAATGAAAAGCTTAGTCGAAGAATTGGATGTAAACAAGGAAATTGTTATAGTTTGGTTGTGTTTTACCATGGTCATAAGAGAGGTATGGCATTCCGGATTTCCGCAATAATTGGAGTGCCCATCAGGGAAAGCAACCTCTGCCTTACTGAAGATCACAGTAAAATATACACACACTACCTTTCGGTGGTCTTGTGTTTCTTTCGGTGGGTGGATGTAAGTTTCAAGTCTTCATGAGATAGGGGATCGGTTTAGGGTAGGCAACTACGCGAGTGATATTTATGGCATCGCATCGATGGTGGCCGCTTATGCTTATTTTTTAATTTATTTATTTAATCATTGATACATCATTCTATCACATTTTAATACCTTACTACACTGTTGCTGGCTCGTTTGCCACCCTTTAAAAAACCAATGTTATCGTAGATATTTTAAATTCAAGAATTCGTATCAGCCTTCTTTGCCAAAGAGAAAATATCAAATCTTTGTTGAAGAATTGGTGTTATTGTTAGTGACAAGATTTGTTGTAAACAAGGAAACTATTACAGTTGGTGTACCAAGGATTTCACGAGATCTATATGACTACAACGAAATTACGGTATATAATGACGAATAATCTTGTTTGTTACAGTCTTATTACTCATATTTTTTTAATTAATTGACTAAATTTATATAGGTACATCGAGTCAAAGCAAACGTATGGTAGAGTAACACATATGACTCTTGACTGTAAGTTAGGTGTTAATGGATTGCTTCTTTCATTAAATCTATGATAGTTTTGCAAAACCGAACCATTTACACTGATTTGATAGAAATGTAAGTGCCTAATAACAAAAGAGTACTCCAGGGTTTACATTTAAGTCCGCTTCTATATAACACGTTATTTTATAATTAAGAAAAAAAATTGCATCTACCTCCATTTAGCGCCTCCTCCTCCATTAATTAATTCGTTCCATCGATTTCTAAAAGTCAGTAACATCGATTTTCTACTTAAAGAAAATAAATGTATGTTACAACGTGTAATACCTTATAAGAAGTAAAAAAAATGCTTACCTTTTCATAGTTTCTTCGTCATCTATATGAATGAAACTATCTTGCCCACTGAAGCTGGGATATGAGTTGGTGTCACCCCAGTTTATCTCGTTTGCGTTCAAATATTTCACTTGCATGTAAGTCTGGCCATCATAAGGTTCTTCCGTAGCTATATCGTTGCTTCTCTCGATACTGTCCTGGATATATTGATACTTTTTGGTGGCGTAATACTTTTTCTTTTTTGATTTCTCCGTGTGAAAATGCTGTGTGTGTTTCTTCGATTTCACCTTGTGGAACTTTGGTTTGGGTCCCTTCTTAGCCACTATGGAACGGTGGATGTCTGTCTCCGAAATGTTTTGAGGGTAGATTGGTATCTGTTCCAGTACTTCTTTGCATTGGCTATTGTCTCTGCAAAATAATGTACATAATTATACGCATGAAAAAGGTTCCAATTTCGATTGAAGACAAATGAAATTTAGAACAACCTGCTTGTCTTTACCAAGGGTATGATAAGGTATTAGCATACGGTTGTAGCATATATGTATATACATGAAGTTCCCTATTCACATTTACTTAACATTGTTTGAGTTTTAAAAAAAGTGTTGCAGTCAATTTACCAATAGACTCCAAATCGCTACTCACAAAAAATGAAAAGATACTGTCGCGGTAAATAGAGAATAAGAGATGCATATGAACCCCATTTTCACACCATTTATTATCATGAGTTCGGTTTCCTTGTAAAATCACAGTATCTTACAAATAATGAGCTGTTCGAATTAGCAGGCTGATTAAAGTGGCAATATGATGATTGGATTTTTAAGCTATTGCATAGATTTTATAGCGGACTTTGAGCGCGGCGACCGAATCAAAAAAATCCGTAACGAAAATAACCTGACAACAGTGCATATGAACACAATTTTCGCCTTGCCAGTGTCGATCAAAACTAAAATTTTTGCCACGGGACCAACGTTCGACGCATCACCGCGGCCGTCGGTGCAAATCCCTCACTCGTATTTTTTTTTAATACTATTATTTATTTTCTTTTTTTATATTTGTTTTAGACCCCAGCACCTGTTCTTATTTTAATTTGTCTCCCTTATATTTAGACTTTAAAATCATAATTTAAATTTTTGGACTAAAAGTGGTAAACGGTGGGGCCTGTGGAAGTTTTTTGGCGCCGGGCAATGCTGTTTTGTTTGCTGTGCTTGCCCAATAAAATATAAGACCTGGCTCGCCATCTATTAAATCAAAGAAAAAACTTGAATTGATATCACAGAAAAAAAACTGCATAAATAAAATAAATAAATAATCGCATAAGTTGATAAATAATGCTATGCAATAGGTTTACCGCGGCAGTCCCCGAGTGCCACACGTATTTTTATATATTTTAGGGTTAGAGAAAGAACAATTGTTTTATTTGCAAAAAAAGGAAAAGAAAATACTTACGTGCAAGTATTATTATTATTAGGATCGTCGCAGTTATCGACGTTGACTCCTCCCAGTGCTGCTGATACCACAGACAGTTCTTCATCATTTATCACCAACTAAAATGATATGGATACGATGTTAGAACCATCTTCAAATTTTATTTCATTATCATATTATACTTTTGTATCTACTTTTAAACGATAAATTAAGTCATGCTTGCAAAGTGACAGTATGCTGGCGCTGCCTAGCAGTAAATAATTAATAAATATTTCCAACACTCACACCAATTAGCCTAAAGTAAGCACTGTAGGCTTGTATTATGGATACTAGGGAAACGGATAGAATACATATACTGATACATATAAAAGTATATTTATATAGAAATATATATTAAGCATCCAATCCAACAAAATGGAGTACAAAGCATCTGCCTACACCGGGATTCGAACCCGGGGTCTTTTTTATCACACGGAACCGTATTTATCACTCGGCCAGGGAGGTCGTCGAATATGTGCGAATATGTGGAGCCGTATGTGCAGTTTTCGATGTTATATTCTGTAAGTACCTGACCAACTCAGCACCTAATAGGTCTTAACTGAGAATCTTAGTGGAAGGGAGATCGACATGCCACCCACCAAATTACATCGACTTTTGAAGCGTGAGTCACCGCGTGGCATCATGTGACGTCACAAAGTTTGTATCTTATTACGTCACGTACTTGAGCAACGCAGCCGCTGAAGGAAGTTCTAAGCGCCAGTCTAGGAGGCAAAGGATGTGGCGCTCCACCCAGTAACATCGGCTGTCGCAGCGTGTCTCCCCTAAACTATGTGACGTCACATTATATTTTAGTCGCATCATAATATGACATCATACACAGTACGTACCTAACCAGCACCGCCGCTGAAGGAGGTCCTAAGCGGAAGTCTAGGCGATAGAGGATGTGGCGTTCCCCCTAGTAACATCGTAATCATCGTATCAGCGTTAGTCTCTGCGCGATGCCGTGTCGTCACAGAACGCGTGGTATCATGTGAAGTCACATTAATACGCACCTGCCGTCCGACGCAGCCACTAAAGGAGGTCCTAATCTCGAGTCTAGACTGTCGCAGCGTGAGTCGTCGCCGCGAAGCTGTGTGACGTCACATATCTTGTCATGTTTTATTACGTACCTGTCCAACGCAGTCGCTGAAGGAGGTCCTAAGAGCGAGTCTTGGCGGGTGAGGATGCGGCTCAACATCTAAAACAGCAGCTATTGATGCGTAAGTCATGTGATGTCACAAAGAATGTATTTTTATATACCTGACCAACGCAGCCACTGAAGGAGGTCCTAAGCGCGAGTCTAGGAGGCAGAGGATGTGGCGCTCCACCCAGTAACATCGGTTGTCGCAACGTAAGTTTTCGCGCGACGCCGTGTGACGTCACTGATCTTGTTGCATCGGTGGCGTCACGAGCCGTCGTGGATCGCACGCGTAGGGAAGCGCGACGCCCCGACCTGCTCACTGAGACGCGGTGCCAAGAGTTGCGTTCTAGAGGATACGCTGATCTGTCGAAACGACCGTTAAGAATAGATAAATATTTCTAATACACCAATTAGCCTAGCCCCAAAGTGAACATAGCAATATACGCAATCCAGCACGTGGACCGAGTCTAATTATATATCGTAAATAGTGCTAAACTAATCCAGATGCAGCCATGACCAATAAATTAATGGGGATTCTGAACCGTGTAAGAGATATGGATTAATATTGAAAATCATCGGCATTTCTATTGGTGACTCTGCTGCTAAAATATACGCCTTTTTTTGAAGAAAAGGTCTCTCCTCCACAGCCATAACCCTCAAAGCTGCCCCAGTACGATTTCTTATTTCACTACTTAGAGAAAATCTATCTTTTGAAAATACACGTAAAATACAATATATTTAAATTTAAATGTAATTTGTTGATTTATTGTCCTAATTACTGAAATCATTCTATAATATAATTATTGAGATCCAAGCTCAATTATACGTATATAACTCAGACATAACTTTTTTTTTAATTTGATTTTGGCCGAGGCCCTCACTTTCTTTGCGATAGCAACTGAATGAGACAACATTTCACTTCTAGAACCAGTAATTTTAATTGAGTATGGTAAAAACATAAAGTCCTACCTCACTAAAGCGATGCCGGAACCCAAATCGAAGGCGAACTCAACGAAATAGTCCCGCAGATGAAGCGAGAAAAAGTCGCCGTCGCCACTCGCGTGCTCAGAGTTGTACAACACTAGACCATCGCCACTCGTAGGCTTCAATGTTATCTGTAAAAAAATCCAATTATATACGTTATAATTGTGTCATAAGAACACAATAGTTAAAACATTTTAAAATTAAAACATTAGAAGGACGAACAATTTATCATTGATTTATCATTTGTGTTTAAAATACGTAATAATAAAATTGATTGCCCACAAATTCTGGATAAAATTAATTTAAATGTTCCTTCAAGATAAACCTCTCAAAGCACCTCGTGTCGTTCACCACCAGAACGGTAATCGGATCGAACTCCCCTATTTCAAGACTATGCAAGCTGGTTAATGAAAACACAAAAAAATTTTTCAGCTTGATATTTCATGGAACTCACCTGACAAGCTTCAGTCCAGTTTATATAAGTATTTGTCCCAAAATAGTACCAAAAATATTGTAGTTTTTGGATTTAGATTACGCTAATTTTGTTACCTTATTATTACCTATAACTATTTGTTACACTTGAACTTTAAACAACTCAAAATGTTTGCGTTACTATTTCGTCGTTACTATTTTTGGTGTATACAAATGTTGGTAAATCAATAAATGAAAAAAAAAGAAAAATACTGGATCCATCTCTTTACATTGGATCGAGCGCACAACGCTAACTTAAATTCGCTGTGTGCATTGCTGCGCCTAATCAGAGTTCAGAGTTCTATTTTTTCGGGGACTCTCCCATACTTTTGTCCGGTCCGATCTCTCGGTGTCTTCGGTCATTCTGTGGATATATATATTATGGGCTGTTTGTTTAGGTAATCATTCGTATACGTTATTCGATGGAGTTGTAAGCGATCTATTTTTGCGGACAATAAATCATCGTCGGTTTACAAATATCTTCACTATTACGACCACGATTACTGATATTCTGAGAATTTGTGAAAAGATAATTAGCAATTATTAGAATGTGCAAATTGACACAGGTTTAAAAATATTTCAAGAAAACATTGAGAAAGGAACGTCAGGTTTTATTCAAGCGTATAACTTATAACAATAACTTTGAAATGTCTTAAATTGTTTCAAAGTTGAAAGATGTAATATCTTAAGAATTAATGTACAGAAATATGTGATATATTTGAAAAAGCCAGGATATGCTTTGCCTTATATAGCTAAGATGGCTAAGGTCAACACAAAAGCAAAATACAGATCTAAAGGAAGCCGCTTATTTTGGAAGGACAGACTAATACCCTCATTTCAACTAATGTGAACTAATACAAACATTGCAAGTGAGTAAACGAGTAAAAGACGAAGTAAGACATTACCAAGGGACCGTTCAACTGAAGTGTAAAGTGTGCACAAGACTTGAAAGTTCTCGAACATAGGGAGTGGACGAGTGAACAGAAAAATCGATTTACGTACGAACCAACAAACTTGAGGATTCAATCGATCGCTATCTGGGACCAGGATAGTTTAAGAGGGTAAGTAAAACTTATTTTTATTGCCACTTTGCGGAGTACGGTTAATCCCACCGTCTTACTTAAATTGCGAGAAAATTGGAAGCTATGTGAACTTGATACAGTTTATTAACAGCTTTACTCTTATCAGTTTCGGAAATAAATTGTTGATTAATCAGTATCTCACTCTTCTTTCTATGGATATCACATCGATCTCTTTGTTGCGTGAATACCGGATAATCAGAGATTGCTGTAATATTATCAGTGTTAACTTATCAAGTTTAGATTCGCTGTTGGTAACACCAAACAAATAAGTTTAAAGTTTGATGAGTTTCACTCCATGAACATTATGTTGCATATTTTTTCCTTTCTTCTTTTGTTTTCCTTCTTGTCAATTTGTACGTTGAAAGTAATTTTAACCTATTTACTTTGGATTTTATTTATTTCATTCTTCCACGCTCCAATTGAACTCAGCGCATATAATTTACCGATAACAGTGTACATCGCTATAAGTTTTATTTATAAGTTTGAAAGCTGATATGCCCTCAATTGAATGAGCTCTTATACATATAGGTAGAAACGCCTTCAAAACATGATTTTATTTATTTTTTAAGCATTTAACTGCTAGATGTTTAAATCGAAAGAATAGTTTACTAGAAAAAAATCCTTATGATTTCATTTATTTTTTAAGCATTTAACTGCTAGATGTTTAAATCTAAAGAAAAGTTTACTAGAAAAAAAACATTAATATAGCCTTCAAAATATTTCTGTATGTAAGGAACTTATTGTCATAGGGATCGACAAAGTTCATCCTGGAAAGTTTTTCATTAATAAATACGTTGGATGCTCCGCTGTAATCGATACTTTTAAAATGAGATTGGGTGCTCAACTTGAGGAGAAGATATTAAGTTTACGAGCGTTATTGGTGTGGCAAAGATGGAGAAAGTTTTTTAGTTAGCTAAGAAATTGAATACAGTTTAAAAAAGTAAATGGAGTTTAGCACATTTGAGACAGTTGAGACATTAACAAAATGCGTATTTAAATGAAACCGCACCTTAGTATAGTTATGAATAAATTATGTTGAATTGAATTTTGTAAGTAATGGATAGGGAACATCTTCATATCCTTCCTAATAATAACTTGACCGAATGGTTCTTTTTCTAGTAAAAGTTTCTTTACATTCATAACTTCTCCATAAGGTTTCAGATTACAAGTTAGATTCTACTTAACGAATCTGTAAAGAATGATGATAGACCATAGCTATGAATGGGGCTCGATTTAGAGGTGTGGGGGCCGGATCAACCCCCACCCTGGTTGGTGACCCATGTTGTGAAGGGCCCCTGTCTTGTGCCACATCCCTGGGCTACAGCGCAGCCTGCCTTAATCCGGCCGTGGCTATGCATATTCTACGTAGATAGTGAATGGGTTACGATAACTACCTCTTATAGTGCAGGTATCATACATCGAAAATCGTTCATTGTTATAATGATACACGTGTACGCGTTTCGCGAAAACACAAACACATTCCACGTGAAGCATAATTCACTGGCGCAAAAATATTTTTCGTTGGAACTTTTAGAAGGCCTCCAAAGTAAGTCGCGCTTGAAAATTACGTGGAAACTCTACTTAAGACTTTGTTGCTTCATTTAGTCGTAAGTTCACAAAAACTGTGAGAAAAAGGTGTCATGTAAAAAAATACAAAAGGAGTCGGAAATGAAAATCTCATGGGATTACGTGTACTCGTTTGATGTGGTTTTAATGAACTAGTGGCCCGCTCTCGCTTCGCTTCGGTGTAGACTTGTAGTGTAGGTAGACACAATGAATTTCTTTATATAATGATAAACCTTCCATGAAAAAATATTTAACTGATAGTAAAAATTTTGTTTCGTACTTTTGGATCCGTTGTACCGAACGCATCATTTTTTTGGTTGACCGCGCAAATCTCAGGTCCGATTTAAAAACATTTTTGTGCTAGAAATTTTGTGTTAAATGCAGTATGCATTTATTGAGGAAGGCTGCGGTTAGTAGGAGCGGATTATCGATGTAAAATGTTGCAAAAACGGGTAAAAATATTCCATTTTTCAGCTTCCGTTGCGTGCGCTGCGTAAATGACTAAAGTTACACAAAAATGAAGTATGGCAGAATTGTTGCCCTTAAAATGTTCTTTAAAAAATCCGCAACATGATATGCCTATTATTTAAGTTTGGCTAACTATAACCTTTTACTCAAATTAACGCGGGTGAAACCTTTAGTTGTGAAATAACTATAATAGTCAGACATGTGTTATCGCGGACTTTTTAGTACATATTAATGTCCTCTATAATACTTGAGAACATCACTTTGCTCTACTGTCAAAGATTTCCGCAGCGTAAGCGATATTAAGTTATTTTTTGCTTTTTTTTCACACCCTAGGTTACGTTATCTAAGTTTTATACCCTAACTTTTTTTTTAAATACTCTATAGCCTATATTCATCAAGGGGAATGTTAGGTTCTTAACGTGAAAGATTTAGTTTCGGAGCCTATTCAATACAATCAAACAACCAAATCTTTTCTCTTTAAAAAAATAGTATAGATTTATCATCATTTCTCCTCTATTTCATGATTTATAATTTTGAGCTTAATAAACTACGATAAAAGGCGTGTTAAGAAGTTTATGTTACCCGAGGAACTAAAAAATCGTTTAAATCAATACTACGATCGACCAACATTCGGATTCAGTTCTCAATGACAACTGATTAAGTTATGCTATAGTAAACGTACTACACGAATACTATAATTGCAAAAATAGCGAGTTAACGTGGAGACATTTTTGAATAAAAAAATTTTTTATCATAATATTTTTTTAGGAAATATAATCTAAATTTCTCAATCTAAGTTTCTCGGGTCACTCAAAATTCACGGTGTAACACAGTCTGCGATGGTGTTATCTACGGGTGTCATGGGCCCGGTATGAAATTTTCTCACCTGTATATCGAGCCACGACAACGCAGAGTTTCCTAAGCCAGGTAGACGCAGATAAGAAGATCCGTTAAATCTTGGCACCTGGAAGAAAACAATAATATTTCAGTATGTGTTATTGATACCGATTTCCATTTAAAGGATGATGTCAGGGTTTGTATGAAATCTGGCCCCACTTTTCAATAGCTATGTCTGTTACATCGTTGGATAGGTATTTTTGAGCTGAATAAAAGTTACTATGGGACCATATTCTAATTCTTAGTCCATTATGAGTTATTCCTAATTAAACATAAGATTCAAAGTCAATGTTAATATTGACATAAATGTTAATGGTAACGTTGTCAAATGCTTTTTTGACAAATAAAACAAGGATAACATATTTAAAAACACACATTTAATTAATTATCGTCGTCTACAACGCCGTCATTTCAAAATAAGGCAGGGCCTACAAATCCCTCATGCCTATAACTTAGGTACCAAATGATTGATACTATATGCTCACAGGTCCCTACAGTACGTCGTCCAGTCAAGCACGTGTATAAACCACAGAAATACCATTAATAGGTAAACATATGTAGCATTACTTGGCTACTGCTCAAACTGCCATGTTTAATTAAGGATAACTCAGAACCGACTAAGATTTGGAACTCGGTGCCATAGTAACTTTTATTCAGCTTAAAAATATTAATCTAACGATGTCACACACATAGCTATTGAAAGGTGAGACTTAAGTGGGACCAGGATTGGCATTCTCCTTTATTTGCTTCTTTACTTCCAAAAAGTTTATAAATTACAAACAAGCGTACTAATTTGGTTTTCTAAGGGCTGACCAATCAGCATCAAGCCATATTGCGCTGTACTGTGCTATGCTATATGTAGCCAACTAGCTCTTAGACCACAATGACGAAACAAACAATATGTGCAGCGTTGTGATTTGTGCGGATATGCTTTGTTTCTATAGTGCGGCTGCTGTAAGAATGTGTTCGAGGCAAGGTAGATCGTATCAGACCTTTAAGTTAAAATAATAAAGTGCTAACTCGATTAAGAAAAAAGTAGTCCCAAAAATAAACTAATTGGAACTGTTATAGCTCATATGAACGCATTCTTTCAGTGCTGTACTTTGACAAAAGAAAAGCACAGCGTAGAATGTAAGCACAATATTGATCGGTCATCCTAAATCTTAATCACTCACCTTCAAATCCAATGTGATCTCACATTTATCACCGGCGTACCCCAAAGGACATAAGCAGACGTTTCCCACGCATCCGCCGCCATGATGGCACTCGCAAGCCGTATCAGCGCCATCCAATTTCATCACCTTTCCGTCACCACTTTTTAAATCATTATTAACGTTAACATCGATTTTACTATCTTGTTTATCACTATCGAGGTTAATTTTTTTGGTATCTTCATATTCTTTGTAGTTTCTGAAATGGTTGATTGAGTTCTCCATTTTGTTGAAGTCGTCAAATTTGTGGGAATCACGCATCACGAGGTCATTGTCCTCAAAGTGTACGATGTCGTTTATGCCATAGATGGCGTGAGATTCTATTTCATTGGAATGGTGCAAGTTCTCGCTAGTGGTTAATTCAGATGTTGGTCTCCAGGGGGCGAGGGTCGGAGCGCATTCAGCTGAAACGAGAAATGAATTATCATTAAATATATATTTCTCTAAAGCCACTATTGGAGGTTTGGCTTTTTTCCAATGACTGGAAAATACCCACACATATTTTTAAATGAATTATTATCTAACAATTTATATAAGTGAATTTAAACAAAGGTTTTGTGTATGATATAAAAAAATCAATAACGTAGTTAAATGGCAAAATTATTTAAATAAATCAAAGAAATAATTAAAATCGTTAAACATCCATCTCAGATAATGCTATAACAATTCAGAACACAAAACAAAGAGCGTTTCATCAGGAACACTATTACAGAAACACAATGTTACAGGCCAATTTTATTTCAAATTAAGTGTTTGCAAGCTATAAATGTTCTCATTGGGGATTCTGAATGCGTCCTGACTCGTTTTAAACAATAAACTTTGTCTATAAAACACACCAGCATAGACGCAGCGAATTTCAAGAGTAAAATACACGAAACGAACGTTATGCATGCTGATCGTACCAAATCATTGGCATAGTGCAATTATAGCAGCAATACGCCATTATTGTCCTAATTTTTTTAGCCCTGGATTTAAAGGTTGTTTGATGGTCTGCGCAGACAAAGGACTTTTCTCCCTGAATGACAAATAGTCCCTGAATGACAAAAGTCCCTGAATGACAAGAGTCCCTGAATGACAAGAGTCCCTGAATGACGAAAGTCCCTGACTGACAAAAGTCCCTGAATGACAAAAGTCCCTGAATCTTAAAGCAAGTGTCCACCGAGAACATGTCACGGACTCAAGACTTAACGCACACAATGTGCAAACATATTTCCTGTGAAGTTAATATTCTCAGAATACGATGTGTAATTAATTAAACACGAATTTTAAGAAAGAGAGAAAACATTTTAAAAGAGAATATGGGGTCAATCTGATCTGATGAAAGAATATGTCCTCCATTATAAAGAATAAATATACAGGTATTAGATAAATATACAAAAGATCATGTCTTCCCACATCCTAGTACAGTTTAAAATTCCATAGAAAACCTATTATTATAATTTAGAAAGCATAGAAAAAATGTATTTTCTGACGCTGTTGGTTTTCTGAATAAAATAAATAAATAAAATCTTTTTAAATCCGATCGAACACGTAACGCGGCCTAAAGTTCGCCGTTGCTGCGCGTTGTGTCTTGTCACATAAATTCTTTTTTTTTTCGAGGACACCCGCGTTCTTTTCTCATGTCTGGTCCTTCAGTGTCCTCGGTCCTCGGTTTTTGGAGGACTTTTCGTACGCGGGATTTAAAAAACCTCGTGTTTAAACTTTACTCGATGCAGTTGTAAGTGATCTATTTTGGCGGATAAAAGTCCCGCGTTTGCGCAGGCTAGAAATAGTATCATCCAAGTATTTAGAAAAAAAGACATTATTTTAAGGCGTGTTTGAAACAGTTTATAAAAAGGTACATCGCGATTTGGAATTATGAACTTTCAAGTGCAAGTTTTTTTATCAATCTTAGTCTAGTTTTAGCAATTGTTTCCATACAGCGGAGCTTGCGGTAAAATTCATTACGCATGCTCTCATACACGGCACCGTGCGTATTCTTTACGGTTTTTTTTAATTTCGATCGAACCTCCTTCGGAATTGCTTTTAGTCTGTGCCTATGTCTTACTTTAATACTAAAATGAAAAAGAGACGAATTTCAACATCCGCATGTGGCGCCATTTTCTTATTTGAAAACTACTTCATTACTTAAATTATGTATGTATAATGTTTTCTCGCAAATGTGTTGAAAAACTTTGTATGACATTCGTGCGGATTGGTATTAAATACATCGTCTCGGGCTTACATTCGTCTACTCGTTTGTAATAACCAACCTACCGCACTTATATCATAAATAACTATTAACAACAAAGTGCGTAGGTCACTCAGAAAGTTTTGAGAAACTAAAACTACCTTCTATGAAAAAATTTTTTTTATTAAATCTTTTCAAAGAACTCTCCACCAGCCTCTATACAAAGTTTCATGCGTCGGAACCAATTTTCAAAACATTTTTTCCAGTCTTCCGCAGATACCTCTTCCACGGCCTTCTTAAACGCTGTTAGCGCTTCTTCCGGCGACGAAAACTGTATCCCTTTGAGCTGATTTTTTATTTTAGGGAATAAAAAGAAGTCATATGGAGCTAAATCAGGACTGTAAGGACCCGTCCCAAGATTCTGACTGGTGTGGAGTCCAGGAAGTTCTTCGTTTTGATCGCAGAGTGCGCGGGCGCGTTGTCGTGGTGAAGAAGGACCCCGCGGAGCCCGGTGTAAGGTCGCTTGTTGCTCATTGCAGAAAAAACTTATGGCAGGCATTTTGTGCTATACCATTCGGCGTTGATGCCGCTTTGGTCTCAAAGTAGAATTGAAATTAGGTACCCCGTCAAAGTGAAGAAACTAGCGATGAAAATTTTCCCTGCGCTCCTCGATCGCTTTACTTTCGTAGGCGTTGGTTCATTTTGAAACAGCCAAACTGTCGACTGACGCTTTGTTTCTGGATCGTATTGATAAATTCAGGATTCATCACCTGTCACAATATCGTAAACGTATCGTATCATATCATTTGTATCATATCACTGCACCAATCTACATGGGCCTGCTTCTGAGCTTTGGTGAGGTTGTGCGGCACCCAGCGGGAAACTATTCTCCTTACGCAAAGGTGCTCGTGCAAAATCTTGTAAACACTTCCTGAACCGATCTGCAGAGTATGCTGAATCTCTTCGTACGTAATTCGTCTGTTTTCTTGAATATTTTTTTTTACTGCCAGCACATTTTCTTCGGTGACAGCCGCCGTAGGATGACCACTCCTTTGTTCATCCCCTTAAGTAAGATAACCGCGTTTGAACTCGCTACACCAGCGGTAGTTGGTTGTTTTGTAGGTCCTTCATCCATAAAAGCAGTTCAAAATCGATCAAATGATTCATCAGGTTTTAAGCCACACTTAAAATCGTAAAAAATCATAGCAGAAAATGTTCTTGATGCAGATCCATTTTTTTGAAAATCGAACAGTGGTATTTTTACTTTTAATTAATCGAAGTTTTCAAAATATTTACAAGTGGCCAGTGTCTTATACATAAAAACTGATTTTGGAAAAATTTCTGAGTGGTATTTAAGTAAAAGGTACATGAAAAATGATTTTACTTTTAAAGAATTTTATATCTGGTAATGATGTTACTTAAGTGTGGGGCTTAAACGGGATTTGTAAAGTTGTCTACCGTCGCGCCTGCACTGCATTATTTATTGCGTATTCAGCGAGTGGAGTCAGGGAATTTCATTATTCAGGATATGTTCGCATTAAAGTAGGGGTGGGTTTTGTAAGGTAGGCTTTGGCGGAAAGTAGGCACTCGAATGCATTGTTCCCCGCTAGTCTTTTGGCCCTAAGGATATACAGATACCTTTCTAAACATAATGAGATTATACATAGTGCGCGCTTTAGTCAACAAGAACAATCCATATTGTCATTTGTCAGCAACTATTAAAAACCTTAGTCTTAGTATTTTAATGGTAAAACAATTTTATTTATAAGTATCGTCTATCAAGGTGGAGAATAATTCAGTAATGAGAGAGAAAGAAGAGAAATCCTAAAAAAATATAATGATAACTCGTATAAAAGATAAGTTTTATTTTTTATAATTTAATCTACATCAAATGATTATGCAATCAAATTTCTACGAAGGCTGTACCAAGTCATACGATTTCCTTATTCTATTTATAAAATAAATATGATTCAATTCAATTAAAAATGAAACGGTCAAACTCAAGGAAAGTGGAAGTGTTACCTATCAGAAGTTTCAACTTTAATACTCTGTCGAATGTATTACAAAAGTTCTGAGTTTGCGAATCTCACAGAAATCTTGATAATTTATCTTAAACATTTCAGAGTTCTCTGCTCTGGGGAGATTTGGAGGACCAATAAGTTTGTGGGACTAAAAGAAATGCCATTTATCACATAAATACTTAATCTTCGCCAGTTTTCGTGCTGGAACTACTAACCAATGGTACTGTAGGATATGATAAGGACCTCGATTCTGATGATGATAACGTAAGTTGTAACTATTAATCTTGTCACAATGGCAACAGTGGATATAGAAACTTTGAACCCTGTTAGGATAGATTTGTATCTCGTTAAATGGTAGAACAGCATACAAAAGATATTTTTTCATAAAGCTTAGTACCTATGGTCTACTGACACCAACTAGTTTATAACTTTACACAGCACATCTCGTCATCAAATATTCAAAATAGACGGAATGAGGTTTACGCATCATTTCAGTTTAACGTTTAGAAATATCTTATCGGATTACTGAAATGTTTAATCAGGACAAAATGAAGTTCAATTCGTATTTGTCATGAGTGGAATCGAATGTTTTGCGAGGTTTCTGGGAGCTTAAGACTCTTAGCAGATCTAGATCTGTCGCTGTTCAATGGTATTGATTTTTAAGAACTATCGTTGTTGTTGTTAGAACTAAAACTAAATAAATCCCGAAGCAACGGTGATTAGATTACGATTCCGATTAAAGTGCGTTGCAGTAGGAATTTTCATAAAAAGTATACTGAATCGCTCGAGTTGATACAGGTAAGATCCCTTCATATGTCTGCGAATACCTTTATAAGTAACATAAAATTTCCGGATAAAGTCTGAGGGCGAAAAACGGAACTAACATTAAGATTTTTATTTGGCTTGATTGCCAGCAATCTGTAAAACGTCAAAATTTTGTATTGATACGGATTTGTTTGTTTTTGTGATTTCTTGCTGTTATTTGTATTTAATCATATCTAAAATTGGTAAAACCTTACAAATACGGTAGAAAAGCACTACAGCGCTCTCTAATCTAAATCCCATTCTCTTTCCGCACAGGCTCTAGAGTATATTTTTCCAAGCGGATACGTAAATTCGATCGAGCTAAAATCAGTTTTGAGAAATATTTAGGTGATCATTTACTATGATATTTGTTTTCACAGTCTTAAGTAAGGTCGAGCTAATTCAAGTA